TGCTCTGATCTCGCATCAAGTATATTTAATTTATCTTGCATCTGATTCCGTGAATGGGACAGAAGAGAAATATTATCAGCGAAGTCCGGATCATCAAGCTGTTTACTAGGGGTCCACTGAATTCCATTCTTGGTGTTAGCAGTATCTGTCTTCATAATCCAGTCTATAACCAGTAAAAATAAGAGAGGTGACAAAATAAATCCCTGCCACACACCTGTTTTAATTTCAAATGTATCTGTAGCTTTCCCTCATGAAGAACTCGACATTTCATGTCTTTATCTGTTGCCTTTACTAAGTTAATAATTTTCTTTGGGATTCCATAATGCCCCATCAATTTCCAGAGATATTCCCTATCAATGCTGTCAAATGCTTTTTCATAGTTTATGAATCCAATGTAAAGTGGTGAGTTCAGTTTAATGCTTTGCTCTATTATAATACGTAATGTGGCTATCTGGTCAGTACAGGATCTGTTTGGCCGAAAACCTGCCCGTTCGTCTCTTAGCTTGTTTATCCAATCTTTTAATCTTTCCAAAATAATTATAATTAATATTTTTCCAGGAACTGACAGCAACATAATTCCTCTATAGTTTTCACACTCCTGCAGATAACCTTTTTTGGGCAGTTTCACAAGATATCCTTCTCTCCAGTCTGCTGGTATTTCTTCGGTCTCCCAGACTTTACTAAATAATCAATGTAGCAAATCCGTTAATGTATTTATGTTGGCCCTAATGTCTTTTGCTAGAATACCATCAGGACCTGCCGCCTTTCCTTCCTTGAGAAGATTGATAGCTTTTCTAATTTCCTCTTTGGATGGTATCTCACAGTTGATATCCAGTTCCATTTCTAAAGGCTGGATATCTGGAGGAACCTCTGGGCCTGGTCTATTTAGAAGTATTTCTAAATATTCAGCACATCTGTCTATTTGATCTTGAGTGTTAAGAAGTACCTTTCCTTGTCTATTTTTGATTGATCCAGATTTAGCTACAAAATGCAACCATCATGAATTAGTCTACAGTCAAGAGAGCTTGGTATGTGTTGCTTGAGGGTCTATATTTCAAATTTATTTAGAGAAAAAAAAAACGGTTAGGTACCCGCAAAGTTGCATTCCTAATTCGCCCCAATGTGGGACACAATTTTTTAAAAAGAACTAAAAGCCCCACTTCGGCTGTCTTCAGGAGCCCTAAATATAACCTATTGGTTGAACTGGGTTTATGGGGCTTGTGCCTGGGTGATACTCATCCAAATGGTTGCACTTTGTGTCACCAGATGTTTGCCGCTGGTTGTGCAGTCCTGTTGGGGTGGGATGTCAGTCAGTTAGTCACCACGAAGTGTCTATTACAGTCGTGCTGAAAAACAAAATGATGCCTAAAAAGGTAGCTGGTACTGCGTACTGTTGTGTACTGCCAGAAAAAAAAAATAAAGCTGCCATTAAAAGATAAAAGCGAGATATTCCATTTGAACTAATACATTTTAAATGCTTCATTTGTTTTGTTTTTTTCTTCTCCAACAGACATACACATGAACATTATCAACCATTCAACTGTACAGTGAACATGTAACCTACTATAACTTAAAAAAAAGAAAAAAAAAGAAAGATTATTAAAAATAAATAAATAATGGCCGATTTAAAGTCTCAGTCGAAGGCTGGTGGGGGAGAGCAAAGTTTGACAGTGAGTATCCATGTCTTGTCTTATTTTTCAGTGCATGTACTTCTCAAAGATAAAAACATCAACAAGAATGGAAACAGAACAAACAAAGAAGAATTGAGACTTCTTCTTCTTAGTGTTCACCGGGCTGTCAAAGTAAAGTAAAGGACCCTTTTCTACGCCTTAAGGCTTATAGGGCATATAGGGCTAGACCTATATTTTATAGACCAACGGCACAAGATGGGTGATGTGGTCAGCATCATGCCGGCCGCCTCTACTTCCCGGGACTGCACCCGGTACCCACTCAAGGCTGGGTCGACCTGGGAGCCAAGGTCATTTTGTGAAGAAAAGTCCAGTTCCGCCAGGGAGCGAACCCACGACCTTCCGATCTGCGGCGCGCGTCTAGTCGCTCTGCCACAGCGACTCCCACCGGGCTGTAAACTCCGGTGTAAAGTTCTGGATGTTCTTCCACTTCTGAACTTTGGTCTTGTTCCAGAACTCAAAGTTTTATGTTCATGTCCATTTTACAGATCTGGTTTATTTGTATGCAGACTTTGGTTCTCACCTCTCAGGCAAATGCATTCTGATTTAAAAGGAAACTCCCCTAGTTAATCACCTTGTGTGACCAGCTTTTTGGGTGGCAGTGGGTTCCCCCCTCCCCTCCCACCCCCAACAAGGCCCTGGAACGGAAACATCTAGTATTGAGGCTACAACCATCTATCCATCAAGCTCAGCCACTATTCATAAGATTAGAGATTAGAGGGTTACTGAAAATTAGGCCTGGAGTTAGCCACTCATACATATGAATTTACACACATGCATTCACACACATATGGCTAAGAGGGGTACATAAGGAGAAATATATTCTTCAGAAAAAAAAAACTGCACCCTAACTCTCATGTTGTAAGTGGTGACTAAGGGTAAAGCTGAGCTTGGGGTTAGTTATCTGATGTTGCAAAACATAACATTGCAAAAGCCACCCAAATATGAATAAATATGAAAAGGAAGCAAGCAATAACCAACTAGGGGAAGGCTCTTCTTCTAGAGAAGTAGGAAATAGTTTGGAGAAAGCCAATATAAATCCGCATCCCCAACTTATTTCCAGAACTGATGGCAAAAAGCTGCATGCAGTGACAAAGGATATGATGACTTGGCATGAACTGGTTGATGGCCTATGCTCTGTTATGGATAAAGGGTGGAAGAAGAAGCGACATTTTGTCAGTGCAATTTCTTTTTATTATATTTTCTTTGTTGTTATTAAAACAATAAATAGTTAGCATGAACAAGGTGATATCCAGTTTTCACTTTTGTTTCAGGTGGCTTTGAGAATTAGACCAATGGCAGAAGATGAAATTATTCAGGGTGCTCATCCAGCTGCGTACAAAGTGGAGAATAATGTAAGTATAGTTAGTTAATTGACCGATCATCCTGATCATGCATCATACAGGTCTATAAGCGCTCAGACCTCATCTTCAGTATCTTCCGCAGCGTGTGGCAATTAATAACACTAGTTCTTTGCTTGTTTACAATTATTCTTTGGCTACCTGAATAGTGTTCCTGTCAGGCAATAACTCGTTTGAAGTTAAGTTCTTGTAATAATATAAGAATGTGAAGTCCTAGTGTCAATCTTTGTTGTGGGAAGATCATAACAAGCTTCTGGTTTGCAAAATCTCTATTTCCTGTGTAGTCTTGGCTAGGAGTTAAGTGTAGCATAGTTAATCGTTGACATTCATACTTTCTTGTATTTTTTTATAGTAGAAGTAGAATGCAAACTAAAAGATAATTTGGCTTGATAAGAAGCATTATAAAGGTACTTAAAAACAATGTCACATATGTTGTGATTAGAGGAATATTGGAAATTGGACGCACACACGCACACACACACACACAAACACACACAAACAAACAACCAACCCAACCCACCCCAACCCATCCAACCAAACAAACAAACAAACAAACTAAGCAGTGAAACTTTTTAAATTTCAAGCGAGAATTAACTATATGCATGTATTTCATCATTTTCAATCGTAGCTTTCCCCGTCAGCTGTCTATCTTATTCATCACATTCTCTAATTCACTTTCACAGGTATGTTTGGGCTCCCTTGATTTCTTTGGACCTATCAGTTTTATTAGGTTTCCTTTTGTTTTCTAGTACCAGTATCTTTTCGTCAGCTCTTGATTCACTGGCATTGTTTAGTTCTGCCTGAAAGCTCCATGTTAGTGATTCTGTCACACCATTTAATCATCTCTGTTTTGTGCAGATACCAGGTAATCCATGTTTGTAGATTATTAATGATTGTTTTAGTTGATCTCCATACTCTATACTAATTTAACATTAGAGTCCATTTAACTAGTTTGGTAAGTGATCTGATCTGAATTTTCAGGGACTTGTGTTTTATGAGTGTTGAAAGCTATAGAGCAAGCAAAGAGAGAAGGAATGCAATCTAGAATACAGTCTGGAAATAAAGAATATTATGCCCTACAATAGGGCTATTCAACTAAGGTTACTCAGGGGCCAACATTTTGAAAATGGGGATCGTCATGGGCCACAGGTCCGAGCCCCAGATTAGAAAGATCGTTAATACAACACAACGAGCAATGAGTTACATGCCATTTGCTAGGCCTCTGTGTGCCACATTTGGCCAGTTAAATAACCCTGTCCTGCAACATCTGCTAAAGTCAAATACTTGGTCTCATAACACCAAGATCACAAAGTATAAAACGCTGAAAAGACCAGTAGTTTTTTTGTGGCTCTGAAACCTGGAGTACAACTAAAAGTGATGAAGCCTGTTTAGAAATTTTAGAAACAGAATGATATAAAAAAAAATCTTTAGACCTAACAAAGATGCAAAACAGCGGGAAATGGAGACAGAAAAGCGAAAAAAAGAAATTTGTAATCTTTGTAATCTCTGTGATTGTGACATTATGGGGGATAATAGGCGAAAAGGGTTTGGATATATAAAGAGATGGCAGATGATAGAGAGTAAAAAAACTATGCACACAGATAAGTTGAATGACCATAGACCATGAGGCAGACCAAGAAGATGTTGAGAGATAAAATCCTAGCAAACCTTCGAACACGTTCAGCCACCAACTGGAAAGGGAAGGCCAATAAAAGAGGTAGGTGGAGGCTGGTGATGTCTGCAGAAACGCACATCAAGGGCTCAGAATGCTGAAGAAGAAAGTGATAGAGCAGGCAAATAAAATGGCAATATCATGGAAGAAGCTGTAGGAAATTGCAAAAGTTAGGATATCTTAAAGTGAGTTCATTGAGGACTTATGCTTCAGTTGCACTTTAAGGTAACATAATAAAGTTGCCACCCTGATTACATTTGCTGATTTTCATTTCTACAGATGGTTGTTTTACTAGACCCCTCTGACGATCCAGATGATATTCTCAGAGCCAACAGGTCTCGGGAGAAACAGTATGCCTTTGACTGTACATTTGATGGGAGCTGTTCGCAGGTGAGATTTTACCATTTTGATGTTCCTTCCACCGAGAACTTTGTTGCCTATAACATATTTACCATATTGTATTTCAAAGAGTGTCAGTCACCGTGGCATAGCGGCTAGATGCTCACGGGCAATTTGGAAGGTCATGGGTTCGCTCCCTGGCAGAGCTGGACTTTTTCCAAAAATGACCTTGACTCCCAGGGCCACCCAGCCTTGAATGGGTACCAGGTGCAATCTTGGGAAGTTAAGGCAGCTGACAGGATGCTGGCCACATCACCCATCTCGTGCCGATTGGTCTATAAAAATCTAGGTCTAGCCCTATATGCCCTATACGCCTAAAGGTGTGGAAAAGGGACCTTTACTTTTTTACTACTTTATTTCAAACGTTTCTTTAACTTTTTCTAAACTAGGCACCACATCATGCATTAGTTGGCTAGTCCACAGAAAGTATGCTTTAAAAAAAAAATTATGTCACAGACCATTACTACCTTAATTCAGTCTATTGAAATTCTTAGTTTGGCACAACAGTGAGGCTGTGCAATGTCCTATGAAACTAACCAGCAATATCCTATGAAACTAACCAGCAATATCCTATGAAACTAACCAGCAATGTCCTATGAAACTAACCAGCAATGTCATGTCCTATGAAACTAACCAGCAATGTCCTATGAAACTAACCAGCAATGTCCTATGAAACTAACCAGCAATATCCTATGAAACTAACCAGCAATGTCGTATGAAACTAACCAGCAATGTCATGTCCTATGAAACTAACCAGCAATGTCCTATGAAACTAACCAGCAATATCCTATGAAACTAACCAGCAATATCCTATGAAACCAACCAGCAATATCCTATGAAACTAACCAGCAATATCCTATGAAACCAACCAGCAATATCCTATGAAACTAACCAGCAATGTCCTATGAAACTAACCAGCAATATCCTATGAAACTAACCAGCAATGTCGTATGAAACTAACCAGCAATGTCATGTCCTATGAAACTAACCAGCAATGTCCTATGAAACTAACCAGCAATGTCCTATGAAACTAACCAGCAATATCCTATGAAACTAACCAGCAATATCCTATGAAACTAACCAGCAATATCCTATGAAACCAACCAGCAATATCCTTTGAAACTAACCAGCAATATCCTATGAAACCAACCAGCAATATCCTATGAAACTAACCAGCAATATCCTATGAAACTAACCAGCAATATCCTATGAAACCAACCAGCAATATCCTATGAAACTAACCAGCAATATCCTATGAAACTAACCAGCAATGTCATGTCCTATGAAACTAACCAGCAATATCCTATGAAACTAACCAGCAATGTCATGTCCTATGAAACTAACCAGCAATATCCTATGAAACTAACCAGCAATGTCATGTCCTATGAAACTAACCAGCAATATCCTATGAAACCAACCAACAATATCCTATTAAACTAACCAGCAATATCCTATGAAACTAACCAGCAATATCCTATGAAACTAACCAGCAATATCCTATGAAACCAACCAGCAATATCCTATGAAACTAACCAGCAATATCCTATGAAACTAACCAGCAATGTCATGTCCTATGAAAATAACCAGCAATGTCCTATAAAACTAGCCAGCAGTGTATTTTAAAACTAACCAGGAAGGTCCTATGAAACTAACCAGCAATGTCCTATGAAACTAACCAGCAATGTCCTATGAAACTAACCAGCAATGTCCTATGAAACTAACCAGCAATGTCCTATGAAACTAACCAGCAATATCCTATGAAACTAACCAGCAATGTCCCATGAAACTAACCAGCAATGTCATGTCCTATGAAAATAACCAGCAATGTCCTATAAAACTAGCCAGCAGTGTATTTTAAAACTAACCAGGAAGGTCCTATGAAACTAACCAGCAATGTCCTATGAAACTAACCAGCAATGTCCCATGAAACTAACCAGCAATGTCCTATGAAACTAACCAGCAATGTCCCATGAAACTAACCAGCAATGTCCTATGAAACAAACCAGCAATGTCCTATGAAACTAACCAGCAATGTCCTATGAAACTTACCAGAGATGAACTTTGAAACTAACCAGCAATGTTCTATGAAACTAACCAGCAAGGTCCTATGAAACTTACTAGCAATGTCCTATGAAACTAACCAGCAATGTCCCATGAAACTAACCAGCAATGTCCTATGAAACTAACCATCAAGGTCCTATGAAACTAACCAGCAATGTCCTATGAAACTAACCAACAATGTCCTATGAAACTAACCAGCAATGTCCCATGAAACTAACCAGCAATGTCCTATGAAACTAACCATCAAGGTCCTATGAAACTAACCAGCAATGTCCTATGAAACTAACCAGCAATGTCCTATGAAACTAACCAGCAATGTCCTATGAAACTAAATATCAAGGTCCTATGAAACTAACCAGCAATGTCCTATGAAACTAACCAGCAATGTCCTATGAAACTAACCAGCAATGTCCTATGAAACTAACCAGCAATGTCCCATGAAACTAACCAGCAATGTCCTATGAAACTAACCAGCAATGTCCTATGAAAGTAACCAGCAATGTCCCATGAAACTAACCAGCAATGTCCTATGAAAGTAACCAGCTTCCTTTGAAACTAACCTGAAGGCTAATCCAGGCAGTAGATGCCATAACTTTTTCTTCCCAGGACATTACCTGGTTCTCATTTTAGGATTGGCTGAACTAAGAGCCAAGTAAATTTTAAAGAAAAAACAAACATCTTCCATGATGTGAATTCAGACTTAAAACCTTCATTCCAGCACATGAGCCTGTAGCCACAATATTCATATTTTTATGTTCACATACAAATACACATCGTATTAGAAGGAGAAAAACATGGATGGTAAGTGCATGCATCCAAATATACTATCATATTGAACGAGCACACACAAATGCAAACATATATTATTCTTCTTAAAGTCCATGCCCTGTTGAGTTGGTAGTCATATCTATCTACAACATTTTGTCTCATGTACTTTCAATCAGCTCTGACATAGATGATATTCCATGCCATGATGTGGGACAGTATAGCATACTTTCTATCAGTCTCCCTCTATCTCTCCTCCCCTCCAACTTTCCTACTGTCACGATGTACTCCAGTTTTCTCCTTCTCATCACATGACAGAGAAAAAAACATACTTACACACTATACACACATAACACGCGTACAGACTTATATATACGAGGTAGCTTCAAATACCTAATATATACACACTGAGATTAGTTAAAGAGAGTATGCGAGCCTTGGTGTGTGCTACATAGATGCTAGTATTTACAGAGTTGGATATTCCATCTATTCATCGCTTGTTTGGTTGACCTCTAGCTCTGCGTCCATCATGTCTGAGTGATAGGGCTGTCTATAACCAATATAAATTTAAAATCAACAACCCCCTCCTTTGTAAACAGACAGAATTTATAGTAGATTTGAAGTTACCCTGGTAAGTCACATGACTTCGGTGAACTTTCAGCGACTAGACGAACATGATGCATCAAAAGAAACCATTTTTTTTTTCAGTTGGATTTATTCAGTCTTTTGTGCTTCATTTTGTGTTGATGTAACTCTGTAGTAAACACCTGATGAGATACAGAGAAATACGCCTGGCAGTAAAATTGTGCAATGTATTGTTTTTGTCCGTATTATGTAACCACTATGTCACCACAGGCCCCTTACTTGAAAGTGCCAATTAATAAAATCTGCTTGCATGCAGAATTTCATCTTTCTTTATTATTAATTTCAGAGAGATGTATATGATGCAACAACCAAAGTTTTGATACCAAATGTAGCTAGTGGATATAATGCTACAGTTTTTGCTTATGGACCTACAGGTAAGTCATTTAAAAAAAAAAAAAACTGTATAACATCAGACATTAGATTTACTGGTTGTTCAATTCTGTTGTAATGTCAAGCATTAGGTCTGGTTTGTATCGTTGATATTTCTCAGCCATTTTGTTTTTTAATCATCATCCTGCTGTGCCATGTTATGTGGCATAGGGCTAGCATGCTGTTCTTAAATTCCATTTTATCCTGTGCAGTCACTGTGATATCATGGCTGGAATCCAGACCAGCACTTGTGGCTTTCTTAGTAACATTCATCTTAGGGTTTCGCTTGAATGTCCTCATTTCCTCTCTCAATTTGTTTCTCATTTCAGTGCCTGTTTGGTGATTACCTACCTGTTTCTCCTCAACATATACCCTGTGAAGCACTATCTTTTTTCTCTTATAATTGCTGATACATTTCTCTTTTTTTTTTCTCACTTTTCTTCAATTCATCCCATTAACTATTTATCTGTTTATACAAACGTATGATTTCAAATACATTTAACTTTCGTTAAGTTTTTTTAGTGGTTCGTGAGCTTTCACTAACTTATATTATAATTGAAATAACATTAGAATTGAAAATACATAGTTTTTTCTTACTCACTAACAAGTGCCTTGCTGAAGTTTTTTGTAGATTTGGCTCAATTATTGTTTTTGTTTGTGTGTATTGTTTGTTATTTTGTGTATTGTTTTGTGTGTGTGTGTTTCTGAGATAACGTAGGGTTGAAACTTCTGCTAACTGGAATGGTTTACCATTGGTTGTTGAGAAAACCTACACATTTTTACATTGAAATAACTGAAATTTTGTTGAATGTGTTTCTTATAGTAATATCAGTTTCAAAAATGGCAATTGCTTTTCAGTTTTAAATAGTAAATGGGAAATCTTAGCAACTTAAGCTTGAGTAATGAGATGTTTCAAACTACTGTGTCTTAGCAGTAAATAAATAAATGAAGTAGCAGTATATATCAGGATTAAAAAGATTCACATATTAAGCCAGGCAGCAAGGTTCTGACTGCCACCATGTTGTCATCGTCACAGATGCACTTTCGGTGCTGCAAGTACTCAGGAGTTGTAAACTCTCTTTCACCTAAGATCTGAACTTAGCAAGCTGCTAAAAAAGGCTGCTGAAAAGTATACTGTACTCCATATGGTGCCATCCCACTGAGATACACCAAGAAATATAAACTTGCCAAGAAAGGGGCCGAGGCCAAAGGTGATCAGGACGACAAGTTAATAACATACTTTGAGGAAGAAAAAGGGCTATCCAGTGTATCAGACGTGAACAGAGTCTGGCCAGAGATGACTACCACTTACTTGACCAGCATGAGCAGGTCATTATTCTACAACTCAGGACAGGTCTTAACAAACTTAACAAGCATATGCACAGGCTTCATCTAAGTATAAGTAGTTCACCACTGTGCCCATGTGAGCTGACTATGCAAACTGCAGAATATATCCTGCAAGAATATCCTTTGTACAGCCCGTTAAGAAGGAAATATTGACTCAGTGAGTCTATACAGTACACAAAGTTTTATGGAACTGCTAGCTGTACCCGGCCACGCGTTGCTGTGGCATAGTTTGGCTAAATGGAAATAAAGAAAATAGAAAACGCACGTGTCTAATACAATCATTGTCTGCTCAGATATAGAGATAGCCTTTGATCCCTGCCCACCACCACAACTAAATCCACCGACTACTATCTCCCTCATCAAAGGTTTTTGGAAAAGAAAGACAATGGAAATCGCACGTGTCTAATACAGTTAATGTCGCAATCATTCTCTGCACGGATATAGCGATAGTCTGGTTTTCCAACTTTAGAACACGCACCTTATAATTGTGTCTTTATATTAGTGGTCGTTTAAATGGTGTTATTAGCACAGTAACAAAAATGGTTATTTGGTTATCACATGCTAAAGCTGTTTGAATTTTTATAGGGGACGGAAGTAAAGCTACAACTGTACTTGTGAATAACAAAGTAAGTCGTAAAAAATAGAAAAGCGGAGGCAGCGTTAGTAAAATATAAACAAATTAGGCAATGAGAACTTGAAAATCAAGTGTAAAGCCCTTTAATTTCTCTTAAATTTAAGTCATTACCCCTCCCCTCTTCCACCGACTACTGCTCTCTCCCTCTTCGAAGAATTTGAAAATCACTAACTGGCGATATTTTGTTGTTGCTGTAACTGACATTGACATCCCTGTCCATCTGGACTAAAATAGGGAGCAGGAATTGTAAAAGGTAGTGAATAGGGCTAGTGTAATATTTACCACATCATCCTTCAAGTACCAGTACAACTACTAAAATAATGTCACTGCTATCTGTGTTACCATCGGAGTAGACAGAGAGTCGTGAGCCAGAAGATTTGGTTCCGCATGGCTAGTGCTGTCGCCACAGACTGGTCAGGTTAGGATGTATAATTTCACTTGCCGACAGAAGAACGCCATAACCTTACCGGCGGTCTTCACATGAGAGCACTATGGTGTAACAGCCCTGGTGTAACAACTATTACTGCTGCTGCTACTTTAAGTGGGTAAAGCAGTTACTGTGACTTAAAGCTATCTCAGTTAATAGTTTGCACCCCCCCCCCCTCCCCCCAAATTTACCGACAACTCTTTCCCTCATTGAAGTAGTTGGGAGAAAAAAAAATACTTGGAAAGCAAACGAACACAGGAAAAAAACACCATAATTAGGAAATGAACGCCATTGTAAACAGCACAGCTTAAAATTCCAACACAGATGAAATAACTAAATCTAAATGAAAATAAATGAAAATCTATAAAATTTCAGCGTAACCATGCAATCGGAAAGTTTAACAATGCAATCATAAGTATGCGAAATGATCAAATTTAATTATCAAATGGTTTACCCATTGACTGTTTTTTTTTTTTAAAATATTAAGGCAACATGGCTAGTGCTGTCACCACGACAGAGCAGATGAGGATATTATTTTAGTCCGGGGTAAAAAAAAATTTAACGACTGCGGATTCGAACCCAGGTCTACCGCACATGAACCCAGTGTTCTAACCATTCGACCAAGCAGCCACTTAATCAGAACAACGAAAAGAGAACTCAACTATTAGACATGTGAGTCCATACTACTGTGTCGCGATTAAAACACAATCCAAAACCGCAGGCAATTGTTTTTTCGTAGACAGATACTCCAGATATATTAATGAAATAGAAATCGCACGTGTCTAACACGGTTAATTAAGTTTATGTCGCAGTCACTGTCTGCGCCGACGTCGAGATAGTCCTTGATTGCCCCCCCCCCCCCCCCCCCCCCCCCCCCATCGAAGGTTGTTTGAAAAAAAAAACAGAAAATAGAAATCGTGTTTAATATGGTTATTGTGGCAAATATAGAGATAGTCTTGTTTGCTGTACCACGACCTACTCTATGTATTAGTATTAGAGAAGGCGTTGGCTGCATGTAACTCGCCGGCGAATGGTAAATACAGCGCATGCGCAATTTTATCACAAGAACTGCTGTCAGGGTAAATCAGAGAGCAAATAACAAAATGAAAAAGGAGCCAGTCAGCTCCAGTAAGTTGCTTGGTATCAAAACAGTGAAAATAAAAGGAGCTGTAGAAATTTGCAGTAAGCAGGATTAATACCAGGAGCCATGGGGGTGTAGTGGATATACGTTCTGCCTGCTGACCTGAAGCTCTCGGGTTCAAATCCGCATTGAAAAAGTTTGTTTCCAGAAACGACCTTCACTTCCAGGTTGACCCAGCCTAAAATTGGTACCAGGTAAAGTCCTGGGAAGTAAAGATCGTCGGCATGATGTTGATCACATCACCCATTGAAGACCGATTGGTCTATAGAAAGATAAATTTAGCATCATATGCCCTATATTCCACTGGCATAAAAGTTTTCTTTACCACTACGAATAAAAAAGCTACTCGAATTTTCATAGAACATTATTCAGTTGGTTTAGAATAAAATGTTCTCAGCTGCAGTGGAAAAAACAAAACTGTACAGGTATTTAAGAACACCTGGCATGTATATAAAACAGCAGTATTCGGGGCAAATAACCTTTCATACTCAGCTGTTAAATCTTCCTTGAAAATAGTGAAAATACACAACATGGTAAACTCTCATTGCATAATTTAGTATCCTTGTGGTAAGTTTAATATATTTGATCTACATGTTTCCAGGTCCTGTTCTTCTTCTCCTTGTTCTTCTGCGCTAGCCCTTGAAAGGGCAGTTAACAGGTTGTGTTTTGATTTGTAACTAAGCTGCAGTATCTGCACCTTTCAGCTTAACACATCAATTTCTGCAAACATCTAAATAGTCGTCTTGTGTGACCTGCTTGTTATGAGGCAATAGAGAATTATTTTTCCTTCCATAATTGGGGCCTCAGCACCAACATGGAGATGTCCTAATTATAAAATTCAAGATGTAAAAGTTAATGCCAACTCTAGACAGGACACACCTAAGATCTGATAATAATTAAAAAAAAAACTAGAATGTTCTTGTACTGCAACCAGCAAGGTAGAGAAGTAGAGGGGAAAGCACATGGAGTTGACAGTTGTAGACCATGGTGAATAAAGGAAGACATGGAGTGAGATGCACACAATGCAAAGAATATAATAATTGGGCCAAGTTGGTTGAGGTGATTGCTCCATTTGAGAATAATTTGCAAATTCTTCATTGATTGACACAGTTATTTATTTATCAGTGCCAAATGTGGACACTTACATCCCCCAAATGAACGTAAAATTGTGACAACAGAGATGAAATGTCTTAGAAGAGCTGCAGGAGTTTCAAAGAAAGACAGAATACGAAATCACGAAATCAGACAAATGCTAGGAATAGAGCCAGTCTTACAGGTCATCAAAGAACAACAAATGAAGTGGTTTGGACACCTAACAAGAATGCCCTGGTACTATCTGCCACAGTGAGCCACACTGAAACGTTGCAACGGATATAGAGCGAGTGGAAGACCTAGGAAAATATGGAGTGATGACATTAAAAACAGCTTTACAGAAATGAACACCAGTCTTAATAGT